AAATCTCTTGATAGCACGCTCAAAACGTTTTCTTAATGCAAAACCGCCTCCATTAAATGCCATTAGCTTTTCCAATGAAAGCAGTAAGAGTGCAGAATTTGTTTCAGAAAGTGCTAAATAACAGCGCTTCCTTTGCACGCTCTAGCTGCAGTTGCAAGCACAACCGCAGTTTCCACACTTCCCCGTGTCTGCTTTTGTGTGATAACTGTACGGCGATGTCTCCATAGCCACGTATGAACCGGCGATCATAACACTGTAAACGTGCTTGCCAAGTGCGGATCAGCTGACAGCAGGCGACCGAGGTTGGATTTCTCAGCTGCACTGTCATGTGGTGAGCAATAGATTCTACTCGATTCAAGCCCAACGGTCAGTGTCTCTTTGTTAAGTTAATGACCATGAATGTACACGTTAAACGCACTTTTGTCAATCCACTGCTGGATGAGGGCCTCCCCACGCAATGTGGTGTTTTGGGGGTTGTTTGACCACACTTCGCCATGCTGGTCAATGCGGGTTTGTGAATACGGACAGTATAGATGTGAAAGCATAGAAGTACAGTGCAACAATGATATTTACAGAACTGCCCTCTGCGGATGACCGCGCAGCACAGCGGCTACGACAAGCAGGCATGCGTGGCATTCGCCTATCCATGTTCAACCCCGCTTAGCTTCCGAGATCTGCCGATATCGGGCGCATTCAGGTTGACAAGGTCATAAGCTCAATGTTAAAATTGATTACGTAATCAAAATGTATGCAAATGACACGCGAACATTGCATTTTGGCTCACGGTTAATGAAACCATACAAATGAGAGAGCGATATAGGGGGGAAAACAATAAAATACAAGATGGCAAGAACTAGGCAAAGAAAAAGAAATAGAATAAAATCCTCGAATGATGAAAATTCATTTAAACGTTTAATACGATGTGGGTTGGGGTTAATCATTGCAACACCGAATGGATATGCATTACCACCTTTAAGAAATGTCTACTGCTGACATGCCCCTATAATCTGACAATGGTTTGCTGGAGAATTGATCCCACAAGATTTTTTACGAGCAAGTGGGTCTTGACTGCCCAAAATAGAGCGCTGCTCATCTCACAATGCCCTGTTCTCAAAGAGAAACCTCACGGAGGTAATTATTGCGACTGACGTTGCACGCATTGAATCACCCTTCCCCGGTGTCTGCAATGTTAATGTTTCACCTGTCGAGAGAGCAAAATTATCACCCTGCAATGAATCAATGCACGAGGAGTCAAACACTAACCTCTATTTGATAAAACTTGGCTTAATTACTTCTGGGTTAGCATTTCATTACTGTTAGAAAGAAGAATGTAATTTTTTTGAAATTCTAAAATCGCATGTGAAAATATATACCTGTGAATTAAGAGTTTGGCAAGTGAACTAAATTAAGGTAATTTGTGTTTGTTTTATCCAGTGTCAATATACGCCTTGGAATGTTTACTAAGTATTAAACTAGTTTATCACTGCCATGTGACATGAATTCATAACTTTGCTGCGAGCATGAATGGAAGACATTTAATTTTAAAATACTGAAATTAAAACCAAGCGGTAAACAATTCATAGCGCATTTGACTTGAAAGGCACGTCAGCACACAGACCCATGACAGATGGGTAATATTCTCACACGAGAATCAGCAACTTATGACGTAAAGCCATGCACGCAATCAGCAAATCAACTCGATACACGTTCTGACGCTAAGATTAAAATCTTACCAGATGCAATCTACTCGTGTCTAGACCATCTATTACACTGCAACTGGTATTGTGTGAAATGTGATAACGCCCACTAATCCATTGTCAAACAAGTGACGTTTACAGACTGGAAACGACGAAGGCCGATGCAACGTCCTTTCAGTGCTTTCCAAAACCTTGAATTCGATCGTGAAATGCAACATACCTGAAGTAGTAGCTAGTAGCTGAAGTAGAAAATGTTAAATTAGGTGAAAAGTGAGCAAAGCAAACGTAGTTGCAATTATACTGAGATAAATCATGAGCAGTGCACGGATCTGGGAACAAACACAAATAAGACTTCCCATCAACCGTTAAGGAAGAGAAGATAGAATGTGGTCTTGGGCAAGACGAATCGTTAGACGGGATGATGGCCAATAGACAAGCCTACTGATGAGATTGCAGCCAACCGTGAGGATGCATCGGATCGGAAGGCCATCGCAGACATGGAGAGACTGATGGATCGGCTCATGTGCTGGAGTTTGAGGGATTTTGGCATTAAAGGACCATTATAGATGGTGATGGTGTTCAGAGGTCTTTATCTAGCGGTGGAGAGATCATGGATGACGGGCATATGCACACGTCTGAATTCATGTTGTAGAGTACGTGTAAGAATTACATTTCCTGTAGTGGTACTGCAACAGATGACATTTGTAGACATCTAAGATATATAAAGAAGGAGTCAAGTCAAGCACAAACGAGTGTGAGGCATATTTCCCAGAAGTGCATGTTTTAAATGATAAAATAAATCAGAATTTTGGAGAGGAATCGGATGAGCTATGAAGCTCTTTTTCAGATAGTCTGCAAAAGGCCCAAGAGCTTTCAATAGCCGCCTTGCTGATCAGTTTAACATGTAGGCTAACTGGAGATCTAAGCCACTTGGTGAGAATTTAACAGCTGTTGTCAGACAACTCTCTACCAAGCAGGGTGGAACCTTCATTCCTGGCCCAGAACTCCTGGTCGAGACGAGCACCTCCTTTGGTTCATGTAAAGTTGGGAAACGTTGGCTTGTGAATATTAGTACTGCATTATTAAATAGCACCATCACACGTGGCAACATACGTCTTATAGCTCTAACCAGGAAGGGGAACTTTTGATGGATGGGACACATGTACTGGATGAAGGAGAACAGGTTACCACCAAGGCAGGCATTGCATTGGAGTGTGGCCCAGGGCACCAACTGGCAGAGCAGATAGAAACTCAGAGGTGGTGTGTTGGGTTCTAGCACAAAAAAGGTGATGGTGGTGGCATCATGAGTATTGCCTCCAAAAACTTCCTGAGCTTATTCGGGGAAGTACCCACACAGCTCTGTAAAAACTAAGTCATAAGAAGTATTTTTTTAAATTAACAAACCAGACAACTGCGCACAGCCAGAAAAAAGGCATAAAGACATGCCACGGAACAGAGCAGGCCAACTCCGCGAGACAACGCATTACTCAATGGGGCCTCTCGATGGACAATGTGCCCTTCAAAGTGGCACGGACACCGTGGCTCTGGATGAAGAAGCATCCCCGTCCTCCGCCTCGCCACACATTGGCAAGCGACAAAGCACCCGCCGCTGTGCCAGCGTTCGCTCGCCGCTTGCCACGCCGCCAACTCTCGGCTCTGAAAATTCGATTAAGCAGCGAATGAGATGTGACAGTCACGGCGAGCACAATTGCCGCATTATTTGCGCCGCTGCTCACTCGCGCCCTTTTACACAAGAGCAGCTCCTTGTGAGCTCGCCCGCACTGACTCTTTCCTCCCTCTGCCGCTCGCAAACTCTAGTCGTGTGTGTGTGTCTGTGTGTGCGTCGGTCGGCACTGCGGCATAACGGGACGAACGGAACCACCACCAAAAATATAATAAAAAGCGGCCAAAAAACTGAAAAGTCCACACACGTGATGCAATGGGGTTTGAGAGGCGAATCAGTTTTGGTGGCGCAGCATACTAGTCCATCAAACGCTACTCCGATATGCCAATTCACGGGCCACTACGACTACAACGACTTGCCCTACCACTGACACGAACTCGTAAAACAACGAGACAACAGCCACGGATTCGAGCCTTCTCAATGATCCCCCCCCCCACCATCTATAAACCAACTCGCCAACCAGCCATGAGTACCCATGATCTTACTCCAACTAACCATGCAGCTACTAGCCCTTACCCTGACCATGACACGACGCGTAAACCTAACCAACTAGCCAAAGAGATGCAAGGGACTAAGCTCTCCCCAATGACCCCAACGCGAGCCAACCAGACACACGCACACACACTGACCCCGAGACGACGATACGGGGTTTCAGTTTTGGTGTTGACAGCGTCCTGACTGGGAGGACAACCCCCCACCCACACCCACCCCCATGACATCAGCTGTCTCGCACTTAGCCGTGCCATGGGATAGATATTCCCACGGCATGAATTACAATACAATCATAGATTTATAAAGCGTATCGACGCGACTACGTCTCAATATGCTGTACGAAAGCAAATGTGTGTGGGGGGGGGTGATCATTGCAAGTGAGAATCGAGGACACTTTCAAGAGATGTCTTGAGCCTTGCCAGTGAGTGCCAAAGAGATGATAAACCAGTTGGTTGGCGGTGGGGATGGATTCCTTCACCAACCAGCACGGACTTGAGTGGTGATGTATGGTCCAACAACCCGCATGAGAAACACGACGTGGTGAAGGCCTTCATACATCGGTGGAATGATAATGTCTGTAGCAAACAGGAGTTGAGATTGCCCGAGGCGGTGTGTGCGACATTGATTTGTGACATTTGCGTGTTTGCGTGATGGCTCGATTGGCCCGCACGCCGCGAGGTGGTTGTAGAGTTGAAGGTGGTAGAGGACATGGGGTGGACGTTAAGGCGGATGGAATGTCCGTTAGGACAGAGAGGTCAGAGTTCAAAAGGGTCGGTCATGGGCCTGGTCAGGGTCACGGGTTGGGGTCTCAGCGCAGAGTCATGGGCAGGGGTTGCCATACAGAACCATGGATAGGGTTGCCATACAGAACCATGGATAGAACGTGCCATACAGTTGTGGGTAGGTGTTGCCATACAGAGTCATGCGTTGCCATACCGATTAATGGGTAGGGGTTGCCATACAGATTAATGGGTAGGTGTTGCCATACAGATTAATGTGTAGGGGCTGCCACACAGTCACGTGTAGTGGTTAGATCATGAGCGGTGGTGAAGTTCAGGTGAGATGAGACGAGGCCATCAGGCGAGTCCACGGGGGGTGGTGGTGAGGGGGTGGCGGTGCGCACTGACCGGCCTGCGTGGTGTCCGAGAGGTCGAAGTCGATGACACCGGAGCGAGGGAACTCCTTGAGCTTCCTGCCGCTGAGGTTGAGCGCCGCGGAGAAGAAGGCGTCTTCGAGAGCGCGCTCCGCGCTGCGGTGCAAGTGCGGGCCCTGCGACAGTGACGACTGCTGCTGCTGCTGCTGTTGTAGCTGCTGCTGCTGCTGGTGGTGATGATGGAGCTGCTGCTGCTGCTGTTGCGAGTGATGGTGGTGGTGGTGTTGTTGCTGATGGTGGTGGTGGTGGCTGTGGTTGCCCTGTGGGGTGGCGTGAGGCGGGAGCTGCGCCGACATCGCCGCCGCCGCCGCAGCCGCCATTTCGTCTCCTGCTCGGGGTTGGGCCGCGCCGCACTGCGCATGCGCGCGGCGCGGCCCGCGGGCCCCGCTTCGAGCGACAGCGGCTGGCGGCGTCCTGGGGCCACCGCCACTCACCCACGTGTGGGTGGCAGCAGCAGCAGGGCGACGTTTCGGGGAGTGGCCCTCCTTCATAGCACTGTGGGCTTGCATGGAAACAATAGAGCGACGTTTCTGGTAGTGGCCCTCCTTCATAGCACTGTGGCATTGCAAAAAAATATTAAATAGAGCGACGTTTCGGGTAATGGCCCTCCTTCATAGCACTGTGGCATGGCATGGAAACATAAAATAGAGCGACGTTTCGGGTAGTGGCCCTTCTTCATAGCATCTGAGGACGGCTGCTTGCGTTGTGGCCGAAGCGTCGTGAGAATTGTATTTTATTGTTTTATTTTTATTATTTTATTATTCCCTTCTGCGTGACTTTACCGAAAGAACCAAGAAGAAGCTACAGTTATAATTGATGACTCCCATCCTGTTATAATGCTACTGCTTCTGTTACAACACACATTCACTTTAAGATGTTTTTTTGTTCATGTTTTTTGTTTGTTGCGGTTGCACCCGATTCAAGAGCCGAATGGCTCACAGGGCTATACCTAATAAATTAACTTGAAATGAACTATATCACTATCAGATCTGGTGGTTATAACATACTCGTTAACCCATTATCAGTGCCCTTATTACAGACCAATTCAGACCTTATTGGTCACGCCGTGCCCTTATCAATCTCAACGTTCATCCTACAAAGTCCTATCACAAAGGAGAAACACAAACAAATAGACAACAACAATTGACACGGCTGTACGCCGTATGGACCTGAAAATGTAATTGCCCTGTACATGAATACGGATTAAACCGTGTGGGCTGACAGCTGTGCAATGAGAGCCCTAGTTATCACACGGCAGTCCTGATAATAACACCGCTCCAGTGATAATGACAGTAACCTGTGTACACGTGCACCCCTTTAGTCAATCCACTGCTGGATGAGCCCCCCCACTGCTAGATGAGGCCGTGTGGGAGGTGCAGGTTTCGTGACTTCGCTTGACCACGTGGCCAGTGCGGGCTTTGGACATTCCTGCAATGCCCTCTGCTGCCCGCCACGAATGAGCACAGTTGTGGTGTACATCATGGGACTTCTTTTGCCAGGACACCTAAATATCAGAATAGGGTTTTCCTTACTCTTAGTTCTTTCGGTAAAGTCACGTAGGTAAAAAATTAAATTAAAATTAATTTATCTAAAGAACTAAGAGT